ATCTTTTATTATTTCTGGTTTGTTAATCTAAATATAAGAGTTAACAAAAACTATTATCCACTTTCAATTAAATATTTCAAATATGAGTTTAAATTTAATAAAAACTATTATTAATCGCATTTTCTTCAGAAATAAAACCTATCATAATGCAGAATGCTGTACCAAATAAATATAATTTTGGTAAGAAACCACGTGACGAAAGCGATGACCTATAAATCTTAGGCCGCCCAGAAAAGTCTCGAATATTAATGAAAAAAATTAACTTTGCAAAAATCAAGTGTGTGAACATTCCAATGGAGCACTATATATACTACGTATATGTATGTGTTCCATAGGTAACCAATTTTGAGAAATTCTTCTTTCTTTTTTCTACACTTGAACACTTATTCATACAACAAAAATGGCTAATGATGAGTTGATTTTGTTGGATTTTTGGCCTAGCATGTTTGGTATGAGGCTAAGGATTGCACTTGCTGAAAAAGAGATTAAATATGAGTACAAGGAAGAGGATTTGTGGAACAAAAGTCCTCTGCTTTTGCAGATGAATCCTATCCACAAGAAAATCCCTGTTTTGATTCATAATGGAAAGCCAATTTGTGAGTCTATTATTGGAGTTGAGTATATTGAGGAAGTTTGGAAGGATAAATCCCCTTTGCTCCCTTCTGATCCTTATGACAGAGCACAAGCTAGGTTTTGGGCTGATTACATTGACAAGAAGGTAAATTCATAGCCCTTTGCCCCTTTTCTTAGCGAGTCCAAACTAATTTGGGATTGAAGCATTTTTGTGTTGTGTTGTTAGAGTTTCGTGTTTGAGTGGGTTAAAGTCTCACCTCAGTCTGGGAATAGACGTTGTATATTTATATGGATATGGACAATTCTTTTTTTCATGAGCTAGCCTTTGAGGTTAAGTTAGATATATGTATCATATTTTTATCTGAGCAAGGTTTGTTCTTGTTTGTGCTTCTAATCTAATCTCTAGTTAGGCTTGTGCATGGAGGAGGGGTGTTAAAGGTCCAAATTAGCTGAAGAAATGAATATTGTCTTGGTTAATCCTATTGCTCACTTTGTAAACTAGGTTCCCCTACTCCAGATGCTCAGTCCTAGGCGTGCGGGGTATATATTAGAGTTTCACATTAGTTAAAGAAATAGAAAATTGTCTTGTCTTGTGGCAACAAGTGATAACCGTTTTCTTTTTCTGTGTTTGTTGAAATTTTCAGTTGTATTATTCTGCAAGGAAGATATGGGGAGCAAATGGAGAAGAGCAGGAGGCAGGTAAGAAAGAATTCATAGAATGCCTTAAAGTGTTGGAGGGAGCACTTGGAGAGAAGCCTTACTTTGGAGGAGATAACTTTGGTTTTGTTGATATTGCACTGATTGGGTTCTACAGCTGGATTCATTCTTGTGAGACTTATGGTAACTTCAGCACAGAAGCTGAGTGTCCAAAGTTTGTGGTTTGGGCCAAGAGGTGCATGCAGAGGGACAGTGTGGCTAAGTCTTTGCCTGACCAACATAAGGTCCTTGAGTTTGCAAAGACTCTTAGGCACAAGTTAGGACTTGAATAAACATATGCATATATATCATAATGTATTGAAAAAAGGCACTTCATTGTGCCTTCTTGTGTTGTTGTTTTAAGATTTGAAATGTTTGTTTGGTCATAGTGCAAGTGAGTTCTACTTTTACCTGTCTTGTTGAGGGTTGGCTTTTCTAGTCCTTGTATGTAATTCTGGGGATTTTCCTCTTTGTGTTTACAAGTAATCACTTTTTTCATGAGCATCGTCTATCACCAATAGTAACAACACCTCAGATCTAAACAAGTTGGGATCGACTATATGATTTTACTTTATGCCATCCGGAACATAATAAACAATAACAATTCTGTTATTTTACATTTTCTCGATTCCTTTTTATTTCTGTTTTTAATTGTTTTGAAGAGCAGGGGCACATCTAGTTTTTACTCGGATTTTGTGCCTTTCAACTTAACCCATTACTTTTGGCTCAATGGTTGACTTAGAAATTACACCTAATGATTTTGATAACTTTTGATCGACCTAAGAAATTCAAATTGCATATTCAAACTTTTAACATAATTTCAACTTTAAATCAATTTAATTTCAAATCATGTCCAAACGAAGCCTAAGATATGGTGGGGATTGGAGTAGTTTTATCTTAATTTTGTTTTGTGCACCCAATCATCGGAAACAAAAATTATTTACCATTCAAAGTTTGAGGACTTCTTATGAAATATCCCTTCTGATCCTTATGAAAGAGCACAAGCTAGGTTGTGGGCTGACCATATTGACAACACCGTAAATTCTTTGCTGATATCTTATGTATACAATATAATTTTTTACCAACGGGATTCAAATGAACATCCTCAATGTTGATCTGAGTGATTTTATGTGTTGTCGCATGCATCATAACGTATTTTTAAAAAGGGCATTTTTGCTGTGCCTTTTATAAATCTAAATAGCAAACCTCAAAATGACTATCCATGCATTCCTCCTGAAAAGGGGAGACGAGGAAGAGGACTCGGAGTTGGAAATTACACCTAATGATTTTGATAATTACTGATCGACCTAAGAAATTCAAATTGCATATTCAAACTTTTAACATAATTTCAACTTTAAATCAATTTAATTTCAAATCATGTCCAAACGAAGCCTAAGATATGGTGGGGATTGGAGTAGTTTTATCTTAATTTTGTTTTGTGCACCCAATCATCGGAAACAAAAATTATTTACCATTCAAAGTTTGAGGACTTCTTATGAAATATCCCTTCTGATCCTTATGAAAGAGCACAAGCTAGGTTGTGGGCTGACCATATTGACAACACCGTAAATTCTTTGCTGATATCTTATGTATACAATATAATTTTTTACCAACGGGATTCAAATGAACATCCTCAATGTTGATCTGAGTGATTTTATGTGTTGTCGCATGCATCATAACGTATTTTTAAAAAGGGCATTTTTGCTGTGCCTTTTATAAATCTAAATAGCAAACCTCAAAATGACTATCCATGCATTCCTCCTGAAAAGGGGAGACGAGGAAGAGGACTCGGAGTTGGAAATTACACCTAATGATTTTGATAACTTTTGATCGACCTAAGAAATTCAAATTGCATATTCAAACTTTTAACATAATTTCAACTTTAAATCAATTTAATTTCAAATCATGTCCAAACGAAGCCTAAGATATGGTGGGGATTGGAGTAGTTTTATCTTAATTTTGTTTTGTGCACCCAATCATCGGAAACAAAAATTATTTACCATTCAAAGTTTGAGGACTTCTTATGAAATATCCCTTCTGATCCTTGTGAAAGAGCACAAGCTAGGTTCTGGGCTGACTATATTGACAACAACGTAAATTCTTTGATGATATCTTATATATACAGTATAATTTTTTACCAACGGAATTTGAATGAACATCCTCAATGTTGATCTAAGTGATTTTATGTGTTGTCGCATGCATCATAACATATTTTTAAAAAGGGCATTTTTGCTGTGCCTTTTATAAATCTAAATAGCAAACCTCAAAATGACTATCCATGCATTCCTCCTGAAAAGGGGAGACGAGGAAGAGGACTCGGAGTTGGAAATTACACCTAATGATTTTGATAATTACTTTTGATCAACTTAGGAAATTCAAATTGTATGTCCAAATTTTACACAAAAATTCACCATCAAATCATTCTGATTCAAGTCATGTCCAAATGGCACATAAGATGAAGAATTAAGTAAGGGATTCTTTCGAACCTTATTTCCTGAAATGATTATACAGTATATATAAGATTAAAATTAACTTTTATGTATGCATAGTAGATATTGAATTTGCTTAGTTGCTTTCTGTGTCTACTTATTTATATTCTGAATTTTTTTAATGAAAATTATGACTCTTCACTAACTCATAGTTGATAATAATGGACAACAATAATGATTGCAATTTCTAAATCAATTTGTTTGACATAGATAAGAAAGATTTTTTTTCTTACCATCCTAACCACTTTAAATTTTTTTTCTATTCGTCCTTACTAACAAATTTCATGATCCTTTTCTTTTTTTATAATATTAAATTTTATTTTAATCAAATAAAGAAATATTTGGCAAGCCTCTATTGGTGTAGATCTACCAGGCAACGAAAGCGCTGACATATAGGTTACACGAAGTGCTATATATGTATATGTACCACAACCATATCAGTACTACCAATTTTGGGAAAAAAATCTTTCTGGTTAATTCATCTGCAACACACATTTTCAGAAACTAGTAAAAAAAATGGCTAATGATGAGGTGATTCTATTGGATTTCTGGGCCAGCATGTTTGGTATGAGGTTAAGGATTGCACTTGCTGAAAAAGAGATAAAATATGAGTACAAAGAAGAAGAGGGGCTGATTACTAACAAAAGTTCTCTGCTTTTAGAGATGAATCCTATACACAAGAAAGTTCCAGTTTTGATTCATAATGGAAAACCAATTTGTGAGTCTATTATTGGAGTTGAGTATATTGAGGAAGTTTGGAAGGATAAAGCCCCTTTGCTCCCTTCTGATCCTTATGAGAGAGCACAAGCTAGGTTCTGGGCTGATTACATTGACAAGAAGGTAAATCCATAGCACTAATTAGGATTTATTTTAGCCAAATCTGAATTAATTTGGAATTGAATCTTTCTATTTATTCTTTTTGGTGTTGTGTTGGTAGAGTTTCACATTGGTTGGTTGAAGGTGAAATGCTGTTTTCTTAATAGTCTTGGTTAATGGTGACCTAATTAGATTAGCTTTTTTTGGAGTTAAATTAGGTAAACTCTACTTTTCTTTAGGCCCTCTTATTGTACTATTTGTGCTCCAAATGTTTTGTTGAAAATACAATTAAATAATAAAAGTGTAATCTCTCTTTAATAGTTTAAATTTTTAGATGAGATATTCACACACTTAAACACAGTATCAGAGATTCTGAGATCAAATCTCAATTCCATCCATATTGAAAAGAATTTCACGTGCTTGGCACATGAAAAAAAATTGGGGTCATTTTGAAAATACAATTAAGTAATAAATTTAGATAAGATGATCACATACTTCAACATGTTTAGTCCTAGGCCTGTAGGGTATTAGAGTTTCACATGAATTGTAAAAATGAAACTGTTAATCCACACTTCATAAACTAGGGTTCTCCCTACTCCAGATGCTCAATCCTAGGCCTGATGTATGTTAGAGTTTCACATTGGTTGAAGAACACTTCATAAGCTAGGTTCCCCGCTCCAGATGCTCAATCCTAGTCGTAGGGGTGTTAGAGTTTCATATTAGTTGAAGAAGAGGAATATTGTCTTGTAATGTAGTCTTGGTTAATCCTCACTTCATATTCTAGGTTTTGGTAGTGTCGTCTAAGGTCCATTTTCTTAACATGAACTTGACTAGGACTTTTATTTCAGTTTTGTGGCAACAAGTGATAACCTCTTTTCTTTTTCTGTGTTTGTTGAAATTTTTAGTTATATGTTTCTTCAAGGAAGATATGGGGAACAAAGGGAGAAGAGCAGGAGGCAGGTAAGAAAGATTTCATTGAAGTCCTTAAAGTGCTGGAGGGAGAACTAGGAGAGAAGCCTTACTTTGGAGGAGATAATTTTGGTTTTGTGGATATTGCTCTGATTGGGTTCTATAGTTGGTTTTATGCTTATGAGACTTATGGTAACTTCAGCACAGAGGCTGAGTGTCCAAAGTTTGTGGCTTGGGCCAAAAGGTGCATGCAGAGGGACAGTGTGGCTAAGTCTTTGCCTGACCAACATAAGGTCTTTGAGTTTATACAAATGCTAAGGCAGAAGTTTGGAATTGAATAAACATATGCATATACAATTATGCATCATAATGTATTGAATAAAGCACTTCATTGTGCCTTCTTGAGTTGTTTTTTGAATTTGGTCATGGTTTAAATTCTACTCTTACTTGTCAGATTTTTGTATCTTCAGTTGAACTCATTACTTGTGGCTCGATGGTTGATTTGATGTGTTGTTGGATTGGTCATTGGTTATGGGATCATGCATCATAATGTATTATAAAAAAAATGTACTTTGACGTTCCTTTTGAGTTGTAGTATCTAGATAAGTGAAGTTAAAGTTCAAGATAACTCTATTCTAAGACTAATATCAAGACTTGTAAAACACCGACCTGTAGACTAATAAAAAAGCCCACTTCTTTAATAAAAGAGTTCAGCCCATTATAAGATGGGAAAATTGTATATAATACTCCCTCCGTCCCTTTTTAGTTGTCCACTTTAGAAATGGCACACAGATTAAGGCAACAATGATTAGCACAGTGAAGTTACAATTTTACCCTTATGACAACTTTTCACTTCAAAATTACAACCACTTATTTGAATTCAAGTGAAATAAATTGGAGGGAAACAACATACACTTTTACAATTTTCAAGAAGTGTAAATAAGGGTATAATAGGAAAAAATTTGTTGTCCTTTCTTGATTTGTCAAAATGGACAACTAAATAGGGACAACCAAAAAAGGAAATATGGACAAGTAAATAGGGACGGAGGGAGTAGCAA